AAGTATATAGTCCGGAATGCCGTTCTTCCAGCCTGTCCCTGGGATAGCACTGCAGGCAGGCCACACCCCCGGGGAAACTCCCCCCGGGCAGACCGGCCGCTCAGAACCCAGTCATGTGATCCATCATGGGAACCACCACTCACAACTGGAGTCCAGCCAAGTTGACACATCTTCAACTATCACACATGTATTTACTGAATGACTGTTCTGGTTACCTAGTGCCACTCTGACAAGAATATACCACAACTGGGATGGTTTGAACAAACAGGAGTTTATTCTCTTACAGTTCGGGAGGCTAGAAGTCCAAGTTCAAAGTGCCAGGTTCTAGGGACTGTGTGAAAGCCCCTCAACCTTGGGCTTCAGCTCTGTCTCTTGCTCCTGGCCCACTGGAGCTAGAGGCTTTTCTTCACTCAGACAGCTACTGGCTGCTGAGGCTGACAAGTCCAAGGTTGACAAGTAAAATGGCACAGTCCTGATGTTACCAAACCACATGGCAGGCCATTAATTCAAGTCCATTGAAAGTCCCAAGGTCAGCAGAGAATGGCAGGCTGCTGAACAATGACACAGTTACATGCAGGGTTCAAACGTGCCATAAGCTAGAGACCATTCCCAAGGCTTCTCTTATATACAGGAAGCAGACCATATCCCTAAGGCAGCTACTCAGCTGCTCACAGTAGATTCCACCATGGAGTTGATTACCAGTCTCATCATGGAGAATACTACATCCACCTGCCCAGCCACTCAACCAGGCCCAGCCAAGTTGACATACAAACATAGCTACCACATTCACCAGCACCATAACTCAAAAGCATCAACTCTTCTTTGGTCTTCCTTTTTCATTGTCTAGCTCTCACATGCATATGAGGCTATTGAAAACACCATGGCTTGTGTCAAGTGCACCCTAGTCTTCAAGGAAACATCTTTGCTCTTTAGCACTTGAAAGAGGTTCTTTGCAGCAGATTTGGCCAATGCTGCATGACATCCGATATCTTGACTGCTGCTTCCATTGGTGTTGATTGTAGAACCAAGTAATATGAAGTTCTTGACAACTTCAATATTTTCTCCATTTATCCTGATGCTGCTCATTGGTCCCGTTGTGAGGATTTTTGTTTTCTTTATATTGAGGTATAATCCACACTGTACTCTTCAATCTTCATCAGTAAGTGTTTCAAGTCACCCTCACTTTCAGCAAGCAAAGTTGTGTCATCTGCATAACACAGGTTGTTAATGAGTCTTCCTCCAATCCTGATGCCACATTCTTCTTCATATAGTCCAGCTTCTTGGATTATTTGTTCCGCATACAGATTGAATAAGTATGGTGAAAGGACATAACTCTGATGCACTCCCTTCTTGATTTTAAACTGTGCAGTGTCCATTTGTTCTGTTCGAACAACAGCCTCCTTGTCTATGTATAAGTTCTTCACGAGCACAATTAAGTGTTCTGGAGTTCCCATTCTTCTCAATGTTATCCATAATTTGTTATGATCCACACAATTGAATGTTTGTGCATAGTCAATAAAACAAAGTAAGTATCTTTCTGGTATTCTTTGCTTTGAGCCAAGATCCATGTGACATCAGCTATGATATCCTTCACTCCACATCCCCTTTTGAATCCAGCTTGCATTTCTGGAAGTTCTCTGTCAATCTACTGCTACAACTGTTTTTGAATTATCTTCAGTAAGATTTTACTTGCATGTGATATTAATGATATTGTTTGATAATTTCCACATTCTGTGGGATC